TGTCATAGCTCAGGCAAAGGCCTGGGCAGAAAATGAGAAGATTTTGGTTTGAGTCACAGCAGACAAGGGTTTGAAACTTGGTTTTGAGCATCATGTGACATGCATGCTTCTTAGGGCTCCGAACTTAAAATGAATGGACTGGTTGAGATTGGCAACAGTTACATAAAATCTGAAACTCTGTGAGACAGAGAAAAACTGAAAATCTGTCTGGAGATAGGCTAGGGCGGGGGGGGGGGGGGGGGGGGGGGGGGGGGGGGGGGGGGGGGGGGGGGGGGGCGCTCTGGAACCCAATTTCTTTGCTCAGACTTGTGACTCCTTTGGTTTCTTCATGTCCTAAACAAGCACAAAGACCTGGAGCTCTCGCCCTCTGTGGTTATGATTTGTGTGGTCTTACACACCCTTGCTGAGAGGTGTGGGTGCCGCATCCTTTCACGTCTGCACTTATTAGTGCACACGCCCTTGCCCATGATTGCACCTATCTGTGACCAAGGCTGTCCTATGCGCTCACACTCAGATTATCGATACTATGCTCCTTATGTCTTTTTCTGTGAGCATGTATTGCCCTCTAAGGGTGAGATGCTTGTCCTCTTCCAGCAATGACCTCCTGGGTCCTGATGGATGAATAGCTGCCCAGCCACAGCCTCTTGGCCTTAGCTCTGTGCTTAGGAAGGCCTTGGGCCTCCAGACATCACTGCTGGGGCAGCTCAGCCTTCCCACACCTCTCCCAGATGCCTCCCAGAGCCTTTTGCAACTTATTCCCAAGAGCTTGAAGCTTCCTGGGCGCTGAGACCCCGCTCTGCCCTTTTCTGTTCTGCAGTCAGGTTTGACTGGGACAGGTCTCTGCTGAAGGTCTACTCTGGGTCCTCTGGTGAGTGGCTCCCTGTCTGCAGCAGCAGCTGGAATGACAGCGACTCCAAGAGGACCTGCCAGCAGCTGGGCTTTGACGGGTGAGCATGGAATGGGGGTGTGGCATGAGGGAAGAATGAGGGTGTGGCATGAGCGCTACACAGAGAGCCTGTCTCAAAAAGTTAAAGAGGAAGAGAGAAAGGGAGGGAGGAAGGGGGAGGGGAAGGAAGAAGGAAAGGGGCCCTGCAGGACCCTTGCTGATCCCACTGAAGCAGGACACCCCTGAGTCATTAATAAAGGCGGTGGCCTGGGTTCCACTGAGTGCTGGGGATGCTGTGATTGCATTGTTCTCCCCTAGGGCTCTTTTTGTGAAAACACCTTCAGGACCATCACCACACGGAGTGGTTCTGGGATGGCTCTGTGAGGAGGGTGGGGATTTGGGCAGATCTTATCTTCTTACACTGGGCACTAGGAACTCAGACGTGCAAAACCTTTGGTGGACTTTGAACCAGAGCAGTTGTAGCTTGATTGTGAAGCTCGTTGAATGAGAAACAAGATAGGACCGGTGTGGTTTGGGCCAAGCCCTGTAAAGCTTTGGCTTTAAACGTTTTATGGCTTCAGAAGTGAGTGAACCTTCCTACTTGAAGGCTCCTCCTACCGGACAGCCAGATGGGCACGTCCATTCACCATCTTGGTCTGAGTTGTGTGTGTGTGGTTGCACATGTATGTACATATATGTAGAGGACAGAGGGTCAGCCTCAGGTGTTTCTCAGGAGTTAGCCACCTTATTTTTTGAAAGAGGGTCTCTCATCAGTCTGAGGCTTGTGAGGTAAGCCAGTCTGGCGGGCCATCGAGCCCCAGGGATCTGCCTGTCTCCACAGTGCTGGGGTTATAAGCATGCCTCCTCCATGCCTGCCTCTTTGCACAGGCCTTCCGGCTTTTGTGCAAGTGCTTTCCCCCCTGAGACAGCCCTGAGCCCTTCCTCTGAGTTCTTAAGCTGAGTGGTTTAGGGATGCATGGGTGAGTGTGAAGTTGTGAGTTCCCCTTAGAAGAAATACCTAGAAAGACAGGGTTGGAGCTAGGACTCAGAACCAGTTCTCTGCCTCCACCTCGGCCTCAGAGTCCTGGTGGGGAAAGGAGGAACTGATTGGTCCAGACTTAAGCCCCGGGTGTCTTTGTGTGTGATCTCGGGCAAGTGTAAAGCTCTCGGCATTCTCTTTGGATGCCATCGATGCAAAGAGCATCCACAGAGCTTCCAGTAGATCATATGACACACAGGCAGAAAAGACCCTCTTGTGATGTGGGAAAGGCTTATTCCAGCAGCCCCACACCAAGGGTATATGTGGGGCTCTGTTGGGACACAGTGGAGAAGGTTCTTAAGTGTGCTTGGTTAGAGGAATGGCATGTTCACAGGCCCATTCACAGAAGCATATAGGATGTTCTAGCTGTGTACCTAAGTTCCAGGCAGAGAGTAGAACATACTGGAATCATCAGGGTGCTTGTCAAAATGGACCTCACAATCTGAATCTCTAGAATTCGGACCTAGAACTTCTTTAGCAAATGCCTAATTCTGAGGCATGCTGTTCGGAGAGTCACCAGCATGTATACTGATCACTCTCCGGGTGATCTTGAACTTGCAGATGGGTGCTCAGTAGGTCTGGGGTGGTGCCAATGCCACTGGGCTGTGGGTCACAGTTGGGATGGTGCCTTAGTCAGGGTTTCTATTACTGTGATGAAACACTATGACCGAAAGCAACTTGGGGAGGAAAGAGTTTCTTTTAGCTTACATTCTCAGATCACACCCCATCACTGAAGGAAGTCAGGGAAGGAACCTGGAGGCAGGAACTGCAGGCAGAGGCCATGGAGGGACGCTGCTTATCAGCTTGCTCAGTTGTGCCTTTTTATAGAACTTAGTACAACTGCCCAGGAATGGCACTACTGAGTGGGCTGGTCCCAGACCACTAAGGAAGAAAGTGCACTACAGATTTGCCCACAGGCCAGCCCTATAGAGGCATTTCTCAATTAAGATTCCTTCCTCCCAGACGCCCCCAGCTTAGGTCAAGTGGTTGTAAAAACCAGCCAGCCCCGATATAATGGGCTAGATGAGTGTTCTTAAAGTCAAGGATACATCAGAACTGCCTGGAGCTGTTAAAACATAGGTTGCTGGGTGCCTCTCAGAGCTTTTTCAGTGAGTCTGGGGTAGAGCCAAGAATATGCCTTTCTAACCAGGCACTGGTGATGAGGCCAGACCTACACCATATGGGAGAGCTATTGGGCTGGTTGTAGGTAGGGCTGGTGGGGGCAGGAGCAGAGAATGTGGCGGAGCCAGGCTTTGAATGTTGTGAATGAGTGGCTACCACACAAGTCATTCTAGCCTGCCTCTGTCTGTCAGTCTGTGGTGCTCTGTCGGAGTCCAGCTCCAGCCTATTGAAGGGTTCTTGAGGAGAGGAGAAAGGAATGAGGAAGTATTAGATGGAAATATAGGAGTAGATGGAGAGAAAGACAGAGACACAGGCTAGCTTTGGCAGGGCCCTGAGTCAATACCCAGTGGCCTCAAGGTTTTTTCCAAAGCGCTTTTTATACAATGTCAAAGGGCGAGGCAAAAGACCTCTCCCTTTCAAGATCAAAGCACAATATACAGCCAAGTGTAGACCCTTCAGAACACCTGGTAACCACACCGTGGCCAAATCATCCCATTATGCAGTCCCGCTGGGTAAAGCAAGCTCAAATTCTCTGACCTTGAGTAAGGTCTCCCTAGGGAGCTTCTGTGGGCGTCCACAGTGCTCTGATGCTGTGGGGGGACTTAGGGTCTGCGGACTGCAGGGTATTCATTCTTCTCCCCTTCTCTTTGCAGTGCTTACCGAACAACCGAGGTGGCCCACAGGGACATCACCAGCAGCTTTTTACTCTCTGAATACAACTCCACCATCCAGGAAAGCCTCCACAGGTGCAGTGGAACAACTGGGCTGACTGTGTGCAAACAGAGGCCTGAGGGACTAGTGGAAGGTGCTTAGAGTCAGGGAGATCCCCCCACACCCCCATACTTTCCTGGGACCCAGATTCCCAGGCTCCATTGCAAAATGCCAGGAGTACTGTGGACACCTAGGGCTTAGAAGCTCTTATCTGAGATCTGGTAGAGAGATCACCCCAAGGTCAGAGGCTCCTGCTTCCTACTCTCCAAGGGCTTGCCTGATCTAAGAGATGACTAAGAAACTCATGGGGCTAGTCCACAAGGCTCCACCTGGTGGACTCAGAATGGAAAGATGCATCACTGAGGACAGGAGCAGGGGACTGACAGGTACAAGCAGTCAGGGCCCAGGAGGTCCACCTGTGAAGCTTCAGCACCCCCCTGTCATCTTTGCCCAGCAGTTCCTCTTTGTCCCAGCCCCCTCCCCCAAGATGGAAGTCTTCCCACTAGCATTGCTCACCTAATGTGAGGGTGAGAGGAGACGCAATGGCCCCTCGGTGTCTGCTTTGGGGTAGGCCCTCTGCGTGCTACACTGGGGATGGTGAAGCCATAGAAGAGGCTCGATAGGGTCTGCTTAGTTGTAGAATGAGGCTGGGACCATGAAGGCTTGCTTGGGTTCCAAGAACAGGGAACTAGCTGATGTGAGTGATTCACCCAAATGAAAACTGGGAGGGGAAGGGGATGATGGTGGAGGAAGTTTGCTCGCCTCCGCATTCCCGGAGAAAGCACTATAAGGGAGCCCTGGGAGGATCACCCAGTGGGAGAGGGAAGGGCTGAGTCTCCACCTTTTTTGTTAAAGGTAGCTTCCCTGGACATGGGACCGGATGCGAGTGGGTACCAGTCTGGAAGACAAGGCAGCTACTAACCCCTTTTCTCCTCTTTTGTGTCCCCACACTGCAGGTCCGAATGTCCTTCCCAGCGGTACGTCTCCCTGCAGTGTTCCCGTAAGCTGATTTTCTTCTTGTAGTGTGGCCTGGGGGGCTTTCTAGGGCAGAGGGATGGAACCTTTCTAGGGAAGATGGCTGCTCCTGGGATCCAAGCCCGTGAGTCTGCTTCAGGGCCAGGGAGCCTAAGCATGCCTGGGTAATATTTCCCTTCTAGTCCTTCTGACCTTGGGAAATTCAGTCTTGCAATCTCTGTCGTGCCAAGGGAGTCATGTGAGAGGCTGAGAACTGAGGGAGGACAGTGGGAGTGGGCTAGCCGAGAGATTTGTGTCAATACTCACTTGAGTGCTGCTCCATGGAGGGTACTGAGCCTGTGTCTGGACAAGTATAGCTGTAGTTACTGACTTTGAGAGCCTTGCAGGGCGATTACCATTATTACCCAAAGTCCTTTGCCCAAGATCAGAACCCAGGCAGGTGGGGAGCTGATACCTGACCTTGGAGCTGACCCCTAAGCCCTAGCTGTGAGTAGCTGCACAAGTTCTATGCTCTTGGTGAAACCGGGGTGCAGGCTGGCCCCCTGCTGTGGCTGCAGTACCCGCCGCTGGGACAGTGTGCGGCTCTCTCTCCTCTGCAAGCAGAAGAGCCCCATGTCTGAGCGCACATGTAGGCTGCCCCTCCTTGTCCCAGGCTTGACTCATTGAGGAGCTGCTCCTTGTGCAAACCTAGCTATGCAGCATAGGACGTGGACTTCTCCTTCATCGGAAATGAGAGGTTGCTGCACTCATTCTCATCACCTCAGGGTTGTGATAGCATCTTTTGCTTTTCCCGGCCCTTAGTGACAGCCCTGGGACTCACCCTCATAACCAAGCCAGATTCAATGCCAAAGCATTGGGTACGAAGTAAGCATTTGGCAGGTTAATGAAAGAACGGATGAATGGGAACAAGGCAGATGCGCCCTGGGGTCAGCCTTCCTACTAGATAACCCCAAAGGTTAAGACCACCTTGTACTGTTTCTGCTTGGACAGGGGATAGGGGTGCCACATTAGATTGTATGACCAAAGGGTGACCTTCGGGATAGGACTGCCCAAGCCTGCCCTGGGTCCAAGAAGATTAAGAGAGGCTCTAAAAGAATCATATGACCTGTTTTATTCTCTCCATTCACCCCCAGACTGTGGTCTGAGAGCTATGTCTGGGAGGATCGTGGGAGGGGCTCAGACCTCGGAGACCAAGTGGCCTTGGCAAGTCAGTCTACACTTTGGTTCCACCCACATCTGCGGGGGCACACTCATCGATGCCCAGTGGGTGCTCACCGCGGCCCACTGCTTCTTTGTGTAAGTGCCTGGTTGGGGGTGGGGGCTTCATTAGATGCTGCTGGGGACTTGGAGCCACTAGGAAGGGCTCATGGACACCTTAGTGTAAGCCTAGTTCCTTGGGGTTAGCTACTGCTCAAAAGATGGAGTGTGAATGAGGGTTTGGCTCTGAGCTTGAGCCAAGGATGAAAAACAAGAATCCTAAGCAAAGCGAGGCAGGCTGGAAGAAGACCTTGGGATCCTTTCCCTGGAGAGCAGATGAAATGAAGCTCCGGCTTCTTGTTTCCACCTCCTGCAACAACAGCTGCAGAACAGCAGAAGGGTGATGATGACGGGAAGTCTGTCTCAGAACTTGAGGGACAGGGACAGCAGGAGGGTGGCACAGTTAGCCTCTCCGAGTCTCCAGCAGCCTTTGGGGGACCCACAGCACGGATCTTGTGGAAACTGGCTCCCTGAGTAGCAAATCTTTATTACCTTGTCCTGTCTAAATCTCCACGGCTGATGCCATTTGTCCTACATCCTAGGTTCCGTCCTTAGTGGCACTGGGATGGGGTAAGAGGGATGAATGACACACAGAAGAATCACTCATTCATTTACTTTTTTTTCATACTCTAAGGTTCAGGGCAGCCAGTTCAGAACAATTTTGAGGAGAGTGGGAGATAGTTTTGGGGCTTCATAAAATAGAAGATTCATTCAGAGGTCATTTTATCCATCCTCCTGTCTTCAGGCTGGGGCTCCTGTTTTGACTGCCTGTGTGTAGCAGATCTTGCCAGTGACCTCTGCCAGGTGTATAACTGAACAGTACGCATACTCTGTGGCTCTTGTAGGACCCGGGAGAAGGTTCTGGAGGGTTGGAAGGTGTATGCAGGCACCAGCAACCTGCACCAGCTCCCTGAGGCTGCCTCTATCTCCCAGATCATCATCAATGGTAACTACACCGATGAGCAGGATGACTATGACATTGCCCTCATGAGGCTTTCCAAGCCTTTGACCCTCTCAGGTGAGTAAGTGTGTCCCTGCTTCCTGTTACCCTTGACTTGGAAGCCCCTGTTCCCCAGCTTCAGGCTTCAGGGTGTCATCATAGCAAAGGGAAAGAAACTTAGAGATCATTCCATGAAGTACATTTCTTTTACAAGTAGGAAAGCTGGGGTGGGGCTTGGGAGACTTGACTCAGTGGGTAAAGTTCTGGCTCTACAAGAGTGAGGACCTGAGTTCAGGTCCCCTGAGCCAGAGTAAAAAGCAGGGCATGGTGGCATGTGCCTATAATGTCAGCACTGGGGATCAAAAAAGGGGATCCCTGGGGCTTGATGATTAACCAAAGTTTCTAGTTCAATGAGATACCTTGTCGCAAAAACACAAGGTGTAGAACTGATTGAGGAAAGACATCTTGACATGAATCTTTGACCCCATACTCTTGCATAGGCAATAACACCTACATGTCTGCATGTGTGTGTATACACATACACACACACAAATACATATACACACATAGGTGTGATCAATACACAAAGAAAGGAAGAAAGAAAACAATAATTGAGGAAACTTAGGCCCAAGATTTAGAAATATGTGTGCCCCAAATGGCACATGTCAGGTTATAAATTGGTCAAAGGGCTAGGTTTGTATACTGGTCTTAATATAAATATTAATATAATTATCTTAATGTAAATAACCTTATATAAATAGAGTTGACTCACTGTTAGTAACAATGTATTTAGCAGCTGCCAGGCAGTGTGCGTTAGTTAATTGTCTCATTGCTGTGACAGAACACCAGTAAAAGCAATTTAAGGTCAGAAGGATTTATCTGGTTCACAGCATGAGGGGGCCCAGTCCACCATGGAGAAGAAGCACAGTAGAAGGCGGGTAGTTTCCCGGCGTCAGATCATTGGGGACACTGAATGTCAAAGAAGGCTTCATTCATTCACTCACTCACTCATTTGTTCACTTCTTACTGTGTGTCTACTACACAGACAATGGCAAATAGAACAAACCAGGTGTACCAAGACCACCAGAAAGGGCCAATGGTGTCATGTTAGGGGATCAGAAGAAGAGAGGGCAGTTAGGCGTGCAGCTGGGGGCAGTGCAGAGGCCAGCTGAGGTGAGTTCTGAAAGAACTCATGGGACTGGAGGGAAGACTCAGTGCCCAAGGGCACATACTGCTCATCAGAGGACCCAGGTGCCCAGCTCCTGTGTCTGGCAGTTCACACTGCCTTTAACTCCAGCTCCAGGGGATCTGACACCCTCTTCTGGCTTCCATAGGCACCTGTACTCTTGCGCACACAGCCATACACAGACACACATATACACGTGACTAGAAATTAAAATCTTTAAAGAGATTGGTGAAGACAGGTTAAGGAGGCCTAGAAGAGAGCCTGAAGAAGGGGGGCATAAGAAAAGTCTCATGGAAGTGAAGCAGCCACTTCTCCTTTGGAGGGCCAGAATTCCCTGGATCCTTGGAGAGCTCTGATTAGTCCAGACATTCTGGAGTCTTGAGCCTGTGAACTGGTGTTTCCTCACATATCCATATGGAAGCAGTGTCTGCCTCCCATTGGAACAGCTAGTTCATCAGAGTGGGGTGAGGAGAAAGATCCCTGGGCAGAGAGCTCTGGTGTGCAATCTGTCTCTATGGCCACGCTCACCCAGGCTCATCTATGGAGCCTAGAGCTATGGCCACACCCACCCAGGCTCATCTATGGAGCCTAGAGCTATGGCCACACCCACCCAGGCTCATCTATGGAGCCTAGAGCTATGGCCATGCTCACCCAGGCTGGTCTATGGAGCCTAGAGCTAAGCTGTGGACTTAAGCATCCTCTTTCTGGGCAACTCACACAAACAAATCATGAGCCTGAACAGGGATTCTCAACCTTGTACAACTCTGAAACCATTTAGCTAAAACACCCATGTTTTACTCAGTTTCTCTCCTGGCGTGGGCACGTCCTTAAATCTAAGAACTGCAGTTCAGATTTATATAGCCCTAGGGTCAGACCATATGCTTGGATTTTTGGTTTACAAACCAGGGCAGGATTTTCTTGAATTACAGTATTTTCTGTGAAAACTCAATAATTTAAACTCCTCCCTGTAGTTGGTTGGTTTTTACTCTTTGGCTCTTTACTCTTTGGGGGGCCCACCACCAGGCTCCCAAGTAATCATACACTGAGACTTATTACTTATGAAAGCCAGCCTTAGCTTGGCTTATTACTAGCCAGCTTTTCTTAACTTAAATGATCCTGTCTACATTTTGCCTCTGGGCGTTTATCTTTCTCTATTCTGTATACCTTTCTTTACTTCTTACTCTGTGGCTGTCTGGCCCTGAATGTCCTCTCTCCTTCTTTTCTTGCTCCTTCCTCCTCAGTCTCCTTCTTCCTCTTATTTATTCTCTCTGCCTGCCAGCCCTGCATATTTTTCTCTCTCTCTACCCAGATACTGGCCATTCAGCTCTTTATTAGACCAATCAGGTGTTTTAGACAGGCAAAGTAACCCAGCTTCACAGAGTTAAACAAATGCAACACAAAAGAATGCAACACATCTTTGCATCATTAAACAAATGTTCCAGAGCATAAGCAAATCTTTTTTTTTTGTTTAAACACATCTTAAAATAATATTCTACAACACTTCTCCAAACAATAGCAATCTACAGCTACAGGTTGTATACAACTGTTATATGTTAAGATGCATTTCAACAATGAGCATAAAGAAGAAATCATTTGATTTTTTTTGTTAATAATAGATATTACCCTTCCATTTTCATTTACTTGTGTGTTTACTCTCTAGCAGACAAAATGTGTGGATACTAACATTGAAGCCCCAATTCATGGAAACATTTAACATGTGCTCCAGTCGCATTTATGCTGCTGTAATAAAGGACTCTGACCACAAGCAACGTGGGGTGGGGGTGGGGGGGTGGGAGGTTAGAGTTTATTTGGCTTGCAATTCCAGGTTATGGTCCATCCTTTCAGCCATCAAGGCAGGAACTCCGGCCGCTCGTCACATCACATCCACGGTCAAAAGCAGAAGGAATACTTGCATCCTTGCTTGCTGCTTAGTACTCAGCTAGCTTTCTCCTCTCTTAGACAGTCCAGGGTCAGCCTATGCAATGGAGCTGATCACAATGGGCTGGGTCTCTTCTTCCATAATTAGCAATCAAGATAATCCCCCACAGACACGCCCACAGGCCAGCATGATCTAGATAATTCTTCAACTGAGACTCTCATCCCAAGTGATGCCAGGTTATGGCACGTTGACATCTAAAACTAACAATCACAACCTGAATTCGCCTCTCCCTCCTTAGTGCCCCCTCCCTCCTCAAATGTTCATAGATCCCTGAGTCTGGGTCAGGCCTAGAAATGGGTGCAGAATGCAGTAGTGAACATAACAAATGACTGAGAATACTGCAAAATCCTACCAGCGAATATTTTCCTCCTGTACTTCGGAGTTGAGTGGTCAGTATCACAGACCATCCAAGGGGAGCCCACGCTGAGGGAGCTCGTGAAGTGATGTGCAATGACACTTGGTAGATAGTGCCTGGCATGGGAGCTAGTTAGCAGGAGGTCATGGTCTCAGTTATGTGCTCTTCTTGCTTGGACAGTTGACTCACCCATGTCAGATGGCCGTTTAGAAAGAGAGCCCCAAGTAGTGGCCAGTCAACAGGTGCCCTCCTGGATCAGGTGGTATGCAACAGGGGCCTAACATCAGAAGCTTATCTTTCATTGTCCATGCTTTGAGGGAAAGGCCTGGAAGAGTCTTAGCCAGGAGAGTTGCTCGGGATGGAGGGAGACTTTCCTCCTCCCTGTGCCAGCTTGGCTCCAGCAAGCTTCCACAGCTATGCACTTGCGTACACAATGACACTGCAACCAGAATGGCGTCCTGGATGCTGGCAGCACACTGAAGGCTGAAAATTTCAGATGGAGTGACTGGCTTCCATGTCTGATCAGTCCAAAGCCTTAAAGGCTTCAGAGCCAATGCGAGAGAAAGGATCAGATTCCTGTAATGTGTTTGCTCTGCCTCACCCCTTCCTCTACCCAAATCCCCAACCTTGCTCTTTTGCTAACTCCTAACTGTCTTGTCTCAGCTCACATCCACCCTGCCTGCCTCCCTATGCACGGTCAGACCTTCGGCCTCAATGAGACCTGCTGGATCACTGGCTTTGGCAAAACCAAGGAGACAGACGGTGAGAAGAAGAGATGCAAGAATGCATGTGTGTGTTTGTACAGTGTGTGTGTGTGTGTGTGTGTGTGTGTGTGTGTGTGTGTGTGTGTGGTGGGCCATGTGTATGCAGATGAAGGCCTATCGAGGTGAGAGTTTGGGTGTGCAGACTCACAGTTCATAGATGAACATGGACAGCTGTGATTATATTGGCACTGTCCATGTGAGAACACCTTCTAGGCAAGACTGCCAGGAAGTCCCTGCAGCTGAACAAGGTGGGTTTGCTGCTCAGGACAGTGAGGGGAAACACACATTTCAGTAAGAGGCTGTCAGAAGAACCAGAGAGATGGCTCAGTGGTAAGTGTTAAGAGCACTTACTGCTCTTCTAGAGACCTGGGCTTTATTCTCAGCACCCAGTGAATATTTTTAAAAGATGCTATTAAAAAGGGCTTATTGTAGGATGTGTGTAGCTTGGGAAGAGTTCAAGGAAGTGGTACTTTTCTCTAAGTTGGATGCTGTTGAGAACCAGTGGCTGGAAAACGTAGTAATCTCTTCCAGAAGGAAGGTAGAGTCTCAGGCTATGATGGTGCAGGAGCAGCGGGCCCTGGGCTGACTGGGAGAGAGGATGTTTCATATCTGTGGTTTGCAGAAGGACTTCCTACTTGCAGTACTGGGTCTTGAACCCAGAGCCTCTTGCTTATGCTAAAAAAAAAAAAAAAAAAAAGTGCGCTCCTGCTGAGTGGCATTGCCAGGCCTTTGTGCTCAGTGGGTCACCCCAACTGAAGTTGCACTCATTTTGCAGCCTAGGCTTGCCTTGAACTAATCCTTCTACCTTAGCCCCCAGGGTAGTTGAGGTTATAGGCCTGCAACACTAGGCCTGGCTGGGACAAGGAAGGAAGGATGATGGAGTAGTTTCACTTGGCCTCACTCAGTCTGAGCGTCTTGTCTGGCGTTAGCCATAGATGGCCATCCGTGTCCTTCAGAAGGACAGGTGGCCTGGCAAGCCTGGTCATTACATTCAGGTCAACTGCACCAGACAGGTCGCTATTCCCTGCTTGCTGTGATGAAAGCCTGACTGGTCTGGATCCAGCCTTCTGACCTTGCCTGTTCAGTGATTAGCTACACAGAGGTGGGCAGATCATTTCTTCAGTCCTATGTGTCTAGACATGTAAGTAGGAGATCAAGACCTGCCCCAAAGTCTTTAGGCTTCTGAAAACAAATGGCGCATGGGATGATGCTTGGAATGTAGATGAGTGTGTGCCATCTCAGGGTGTTAGTTACTCTGCCACAAAATACCTAACAGAACAGCTCAAGGAAGGAAGCGTTTATTAGCTCACAGTTCTGCAGTCCCTCCTGGGAGGGGTGTCATGGCAGCCTGAGCTTAGGCAGCTGGTCATCCTGTCTCTGTAGTCAGAGGGAGATAAGGACTGCTATCAGTCCCCTTTCTCTTTTTTATCCAGTCTAGGACCTAGCCCATGAAATGATGCTGCCCATATTTAGGATGGGTCTTCCTACCTTAGTTAGTTAATCAAGAAAATCCCTCCCAGATGTTTCCTGAGGCTCCTTTCATAGGTGATTCCAGGCCCTGCTGACTTGACAGTCCATACAAACCGTCGCAGTCAGGTAGCCCACAGGCTTGTGAGTTTGCGTGGGAACAAATCTCTGTTTTATGGCTAGTGAGTTGTGTCTGGTGTGAGATTGTGTGTTCCACCATGGAAGGAGCCCTTGGAGTGGGTTTGGACACAGACATGGTGCCCTCTACTCCCAGGCGACTCAGACTCTGGGTCCTGAGGGTGCAGCTGACGGCTGTGAAGCTTTTCACAGTCTCATTGGCTTCCTATTCTCTCTCCCCATGTTCACCTCACTCAAGAGAAGACATCTGCCTTTCTCCGAGAGGTTCAGGTCAACCTCATTGACTTCAAGAAGTGCAATGACTACTCGGTCTATGACAGTTACCTTACCCCAAGGATGATGTGTGCCGGGGATCTTCGAGGAGGGAGGGACTCCTGCCAGGTGAGGTCCTTGTGGGTGGGGCTCAGGTCTCATGATCTTGGAGATGGGAGATGGCTGGAATGCTAAGATGGACATGGGATTCAGAGACCTATCTTTTCCTGATTTGGACCAGGCTGACTCACTCTCTGGCTCTTTCTTCCAGGGAGACAGCGGAGGACCTCTTGTCTGTGAGCAGAACAACCGCTGGTACCTGGCAGGTGTCACAAGCTGGGGCACAGGCTGTGGCCAGAGGAACAAACCTGGTGTGTACACCAAAGTGACAGAAGTCCTCCCCTGGATTTATAGCAAGATGGAGGTGAGAGCATAACCCAGGGGTTGAGCTTGGAGGAGGGTGGAGGGTATTCACCTGAGCCTGTGCATTTGGGGATGTCCAAGACAGGGTTAGATGTCAGGCATGGGACCAGCCCTAGGTATCTGTTTTCCCTCCTTCCCTTCCATTTCCCTCCATTGGAACAGAGCCCAGAGGTTTATAATAGGGTGAACCTAGGCATGGCCCCAGCACCAAGACTGTTCTCCCCCATCCACAGCCAAAGGTATCCAAATTGGCCACTAGAGGGCGCTAGGGGGCTACCTTCCATGGCAGGAAGTTGACCATCAGGGAACATGGATCTACCCTGGCTCTGCTGGCTCTGCTCAGCCAGACCCTGCCTCCTTGCCAGTCTCCTGTCTATAAATGTAAAGCTGGTGCTATGGCCAACCCTCCCCCATTCTTTGGGCAAGGGAAGATAATGCAGAATGCAGAGGGAAACTTCACCAGAACCGCCTGCCATGAGCCTCAGAGTGCTTCCCCTTTCTCCTAGAGAATGTGCCAGCTGGCATTCAGCTCTAGGGAATGGTGGGCCCTGGGCTTTCTAGCCCTTGGGCTTCTAAGTTTCATGCCCACCCTTAATCTGTTTTCCTGGTCTCTTCCTCAGAGCGAGGTACGCTTCCGGAAATCTTAACCTCACATCACTGACTGCTATGAAGATCCTGGCTAAAGGGACTAGCCATTCGCAGCATCAGGACCAGTGGCCACCAGGCACCCTTGTTCCTACCGCCTCTGCTGTCTGCTGTCTCTGTGGGAGTGCAAATGTGGTGTGTGTGTGTGTGTGTGTGTGTGTGTGTGTGTGTGTGTGTGTGTGTATGTGTGTGTTACTATTCTTTCAAGTTATTCAGAAAACAGGAAAACTTGACTCCTCCCAGAATCCCTGGCTGGAAATCTGGAGTTAGGAGGAGTTTGGGCACCAGGTGTGTTCCTGAGAGTCTATAAGTGGAAGGGGAGCTAAATAAGAGCCCAGGGGGGCCTGGAAGATGGCAGCAGCAGTTGTTGCTCTCCTGACTCGTAGACCAGCCCAGATTGGACAGAAACCCAGCAGCCAGTGACACCTTTGCTGTGCTTAGACAGCAGCAAATTTTGTCAGAGTTGGCTTCTCAGTGCCTGGACCATCTGTCCGCGGTGGAAAGGCATTCCCATTGGCGTTGGAGTGGCAGGTCCTTTAAGCCACTGCTGTGGATTCCAGAGCTGGGCTCTGCTGTGGCCATCCATCTCTGGGTGATGACTGTGACTCAGGCTTGCTGTACTTTTGGTCACAAGCTGTTGGGATGATTTTATTTTATTTTTATATTTAAGATATAGGAACCGATGTAGTTTTAAGGAGTCCCCCAAAATCCTAGGGACCTTGGAGGTTTTGCGTGAACTCCAGGGCACTCATGGGAGTTGTACCTCTGTAGCATCTTGTGACATATTACTGGCTTCATGAAATGAGGTGAAGTACCTCAGTGAAATCCTCAGGACAGACATCTCCAAGATGGTGTGGAGACTAGGGCCCTTTGAGATACTCAGGGAAGAAAATCCTCATTTGGACTGACAGATAAATGCAATTCATGATGCTCTAGCCTCCAAGAACTACAGCCAGACAGAAGAACTGAAGACGTGTGTACTACCTGGCTTATCCTCCCAGGACCACTGGGAAAGTCTAGGCAAGCATCATCAGCATCATTTACACCCAAGGGCAGAGCTGGGACTATGGAGTTTGTTCCTGGCTTCCTCCATCTTTCAGTTTTGTACTGACTCAAGAGTCCATGAAGAGAAAACAAGAACTGTCCCCAGAACTGTTTCAACAGCCCTTCTGGAAGGCCCAAGTTGTCCCTAGTCCTGGTCTTCCACCAGGCCTTTTCTCTTGGTCACCCATTTCTCCTCAATTCCACTCCCTTTACCTTCCTTGGCCCGATCAGACCTCTTGTGATACTGAGTCTCAGGGGCAAGTTCAAGGAGATCAGACGAGCTCAGGACAGCTCAGATAAGCTGGAGGTAGCCAGAGGGATTGAGTGGCATTAGACAGGGCTGGAACATTAGAGAATATCTTCAGGGCTGGGAAGCGGGACAGCCTTCACGTCTGCAGAAGTTCCCAGCAATGAGCTTCAATAATAAAAGTGTGTGATATGAAGAAGTTGTTGGATGTTTCATTGATGACATCAGCAGAAAGTCAAGGTGGCCTGCACTCTGCCCCGGGGCCCAGGCCTCTCAGCCATGCTTCGTGTTGAGTGTCTCCCCTTTGGCCTCTGTTCAGCCAGTTCTACATCTGTTGGTTGATTCCTTCCCCAGTGATACCAGAGCTCAGTGATGCCAGGCACTCATGCTAAACCCAGGCTATCCACAGAGTAGCACAGCACCTTGTGTGATGGAAGTGACCAGTTAGGGTGGGTACCATGCTTGGAACATGGACATATGAGCCACCAGCCCCATCTACAGAGGTCAGGAAAGGCCTGGCTGAGGAGAAGAGATTCGAAGTTTTAAAGAGTAGGTAAACATTCCTAAAGTAGGCATGGCATGGAGAGGGCATTCTAGGTTAGTCTTTCCCCCTCTTCCTCTGCCTTTATTAACTCAGCAAGAAGCATGCTCATAAGTCCCAGTGATTACCTACTTCTTTACCAGAAGGCTGGGTGGGTGACCTTGGCCTCTTCTGCAAGATAAACCCCTCCATGCTGCACCCTCACTTTTTTAGCATGTACTACATTAACCTTCACAGTTAGGACTCCTCTGATTGTCCAGCAGCACTACCACACATGTGCGGGTCTGTGGCCACAGCCAGCATTTTCTCCGTCTACATGTGCCTGGCCTATGATACTTGTATTTAGTTTGTATCAGTGCCCAGCAATCCCTCCTCTGGCTCCTTTCTTGCTTTGTCTGCACAGGACGGTGGGGGGTGATGTGGGGGGTGTG